TAAAATGAAATTAATTTAAAAAATATATATATTTTTTCTTAATTTGTGGGAAGTATAATGCAAAGCTGACCCACATGTAATAGAGAGCCATGTTATCTTCATCATTTTTTGGGCTTTGCTATTCTAGGAGATATTAAAAGACCAAGGTCATGAGCAGTTTGTTGGCAGCAGAGTAATTTTGGTTCTTTATTTCACAGTTTAGTTTAGAATTTCACAACACAGACAAACAACATGTCATCAAACCTACCTGCAGTAACAGAAAAGGAGACATTAAAAATAAGTAATTATTCTATGCTTTATCATGCGTGCATATGGCTTCTAAAAGTGACTGGTACCTTTCAGGCAGTGCTAACACCCAAAACAGAAAGCTTTTTGACACAAGGGAAGATACTTTTTCATCTCATGGTAGCTTGTGTTGAAAGCTTCCGTATAGCATTCATATCATATGCCCAAGTCTGGTCTAGTCCTTCACCCTCAGTGGCTGTGGGAGTCCAGTCAGGAAATGGGAAGCGACAGGCAATCACACGAGCCTCATCTGGTAACTCCTTCTCCAGTTTCCTACCCAACACCTCCATCTGTAGACCACAAAGCACATTGTATTGACCAAGGTAATTATTGGCAAGACAGACAGGTATTTTCTGCATTAGTGTTTTGCATTAAGAAGCATGACATCTTGTACAACATATAGTTTAAAATTACGTAAATTCTCCACAGTAGCCTAGCCTAATATATTCTTCAGAGTAAATCATAGCACTATTAAGAATATATCTAGATGATGTAATTTGTTGTTGCGCTGATTTCTAAAGATACTATCTTAATACTCAGCTCAGTCTAAATGGAGAAAGGACATCTGTGCATACTTACCACTCCGGGTGCCAAGAAAACAGTCACATTGTTATATTTGGACAAATCGGTCTGTGGAAGGAAGTGATAAAAACTGAATCATCAACACTTGGACATGTGAAATTAAATCAGAAATAAAATATGCACATGGTATATGTGTACGTTTTCAATAGGTGTTTTTCCACACAGTTGTAGAACTAGTACAGGTGTTGTGCTGAAACTGTTGACCTACAGCAGTGCTTCTCAACCGTTTTGATGCAAAGGCCCAAATATTACCAGTATGTATATATAAATGTATTGTATAACAAATATTATAATATTGTATGTGTACTTTAATCATTATTATAATTGAATAATTAAATACAAATTAAATGCAATTAGTATATTTTAAGGATGAATAAAAAGGTACTTGAGGAATACAAATAAACGCTGAAGTAAAATAAATACTTTTTTAAAAAACACAGTTTAAGGCTAAAAATAATTTTATAACAGAAAACACATAACATTAAGCGGTCAAGCTGACATGGTTATTGACTGTTATGATCATCAACTATATTATTAACAGAAATTTGGAGTGTTGATATAAGTACAATAAATTGACGAAAGATAAATAAAAACAAGATATTATTGAGGCAATTGTTAGTGTGAACTCCCACCTGGTGCTTGTGCACATTGCTTTAATGCCCCCTTTAATGTTTGTTTTAGTATCCATACATGCCAACATTTACCTAACCAATGGAATTAGTTGGGGGCGGAGCTATTTATTTTACTGGCCAATGGAAGAGAAGCTGAAAATCTGTCTGAAAACCATTATTTTTATAATTCCAATGAGTGCCGAATTACACACTTCACCTTTAACACCTTTACCTTACCTTCCAAAAGTCCTGGTTTATAAAAGTCGCAGTGCTGGATGGTATTCCCTTCCACTTTGCTTTGACTCTGGCATATCCAGTTAGGATAGAATTAATTTCAAAGCCAGTGCACTGGAAACCCTCTACAGTGGCAGTAAATACCTACAAAACACATCCAGGCCAAACCTATTTGAGAACCAGGGTCTGTGATATTTATGTCAGTTATAACTGGACATAAAGCAGACTGCCTGTGGCTCATATTGTTTGCTTTCCATGTATAAAAGAAACCAAGAAGAATATTTTTAACTGTAAGACCAATGATTCTTTCTATTATATATGTGTACAGAGGAAAAACATTTTTCCATCCAAATTTGAGAGTTAATGAGATCTATTTTTGAACACAAAAGAGGCAGCCCCAGGTAGGCTGCCCAGTGGCCATTATCTTGGTGAAAAATGACTGTATAAATAACCCACAGATTAGTCATTTCATTTTAGAAAGCCAAGCCCCAAGAGCTTAAAAATGAACAACATCTAACAGCGAAGTCATGCAAAATTATAAATAGCCTGTTTGCCAATATTTTTCTTTTGTTTTACATTTCCCATATATTATCTCCCACTCAACTGCTAAGCATCTCACCATGTATTGTGGTGAGAAAGTAGTCATCTGCAGAAAGCCATCAGAAGCATCTGAAACAGAAAGTGCTTAGAAGCACAAAACTTCATCTGTAAATCTGTTATATCACTTAGAGATTTACTGTTGTGTTTTTGTGTTCACGGAAACATTGTATGCACCAAGGGTCTGAGAGTAACGCAATTTCAATTCTCTGTGTGTATGTGCTGTACATGTGGAAGAATTGACAATAAAGCAGACTTGAGACTTGAGATTCAAAAATGTTAAATACTATATACATTATTAGGATTTTTGTTAGATGTCCATGTTAGGTTTAGGATTAAAATATATGCATTGGTATTATGCAGAATGATTGGTAGTAAGCACAGTATTTGGAAATACATGTCATATATTCAGTTCATTATCATTTAACATTGTCAATGTTAAAAACTCACCAGTCGCCCATCACCAGATCCCAGATCTGCCAGACACCCTGCTCTCCCATGCAGGAGTTTCATTACATTCTGTGTCTGTGTTCTACAGGAGGGCAAATAAGGCACCTGGGCAATATTAATTTCACTTACATCAGTGATTAATTGATTGATTGATTGACTTTCTCTCTGTAGGACTATAAATCTAAACATGGTAAAGTGCAGATCATTGCCATTTAAAGGGATCACCAGGGTATTGAACGAATAGCTGAGCAAAGCTATAAATAGCTGCCAATATATCGTATATGACTTCCAGTACCTTGAGACATATGGGTACTTTCCGAAAACCAGGAAGTGCAAATAATGACCAGAGGCCATAAACTCCCACAAGCAAAGCGCCAGATGCTGCTGTGACAAGTGGCTTTTCCTGAGTATGATCAGAGAGCTTGCAACTTTTATGCTGAAGGATGACCTCCACTGAATCCTCCATAACACTAAAGGGAAAAAGCAAACAGTGTAATGTACATGACTCAGGTGAAAAATAAATCTGATCAATGCTGACATGCACGTCATAAGTCACATTTTATATGAAATGTCTTCCCCTCCACATGCATGCAGGTCATAGCTCAAGTACAAAGTACTTTGTAGAGTTCTTCAGCCACTAGAGAGCGCCACCAATCCACAGTGGAAACAACGTTTAAAGCAGCACTATGTCACTTTTGGCACTCTAGCGGTTAATAAACAGAACTGCCCACATCCCGCGGAAGAATATTCCAACCGGAGCTACTTCTCTAAGTTTATATCTATGGCGATTCACGCAGGTATGTGTTACTCCGCAGCGGTGACGACCCGACCAGGCTACAATAGTCCAAATATAAGTACTTATTATAAGTGTACCGTAGTGATTCGGAATAAGACAAAAAAAGCGGTTTGGAAGATGAATTCATGATGTACTCGCTCATTGTATACATTTTGCAAATTGTGAACACAGAAAAAGTTACATAGTTCTGCTTTAAAACGTTTGTTTACCAGAAGAGATTATTATATAGCACAGTCATGAACAGAGTATGTAGGCATATGTAATATGTGTTACCACCTGAACGCGTATATCAGAGATTCAATTTACTTTAAAAGCCTTGTCCACAAAAGCGCGAATGCGTTTACTTCAAGTTTACAGGACAAACAACCAACCACTGCACAATTGACCAACAACAAATTAAACAACTAAAAATCGGTTTACCTTTTGCATGCCAGTGCATTTACTGTGTGTTTTTAGTACGAGGAATACGTGACATTCCTGTAAACAACACATACGCATGCGAGAGTGGGATGGGCACTAGTTCTACTATGGCGAAGGCCTAGCTCATTAATATTAATAACATCATACTGACATCCTTTGGCGAGGAATATTAATTACATGATGACGTTTTTTGTAACCGCCCCTATAACGTTGGCTCGTCGCATGAATATTAAAAAGTGCGTTATAATAGTAGGATTCGTAGACTTTATTTTTTTTGTGGAGATCTCTAAATCAGCAAGTAATGCCAAAATACGGAAAATGCTCACGAGAGGATAAAATTAGCCAATTCATATTTAACATGCTGTATAACAATGTTGCTCGAATGAGTGCATTTATAATATTAAAGCAACTATATA